GCGGCCCGTTTGCTGTTTCAGTCTTATGTTGCAGTAAGTGTTTTTATATGTTGTAATTGTTTTATCTGGATGTTGCATACATTTCACACACATGTTACAAGCATTTGTCCCAAATATTTCATCTGTTTCAAATGTTTGTTGCATTCGAGTGTTTCATGTTGCAAGTGTAGACCGCCCGCATTGGTGTCCATGAGGGCGGGTAGGGCCAAGCCGTGGCCACCGACGCGTGGAGGAGATGCATGCCGTCGCCCGCAGTGTGGGAAGGAGGCACATGCCACACGGTGCTGTTGTGGAAGAGGCGGGGCGAGTCTTTTGGGCGCCCGGAAAGAGACGTGCGTCGCGCCAGTGTGGTAGAGGCGGAGGCAAGTCATCCGAGCAGCGTGGGCAGCGCATCTGAAGCGGGCGGTTCGGATGCGAGCACGGGAAACGAATCTGGCTTGGGCGGCGCGCGAATCCGAGCAGATGGGACGGAGCAGCCACGGGCGTCCAAACGTCCAGACGCTAGTGTTGCCGGAAAAAAGTATTAATTTGTATAACATTGGATAGGTACAATATAAAGAAATTTATTCTACGACAAGTCTGATGATACTTATTTCGTATCATAAATATTGATCTTTTTTACATAAATTTGATAACATTTAAGATGATTCGACTCACAACAAAATTGAAATTGTATTCTTTCTATGATGGGTAGTTGTTCACAACATTTTACAAGAAAAAAATGTGAACACAAGATGAATAAACGTTGCAGCGTGTGATAGGATCCATTTCTCGCATGCACGATGAGGTACAAGTATATATATAACAAAAACATTAGAAACATATGAATCACGTACCTGAGACCTCTGTGTGTTATACCGTACCCAGAAATCAGAGACCGTACGTGTCGTAGCACTCTTGCTTCTCACTTTTCAGCCTCCCTTTTCTTGATATGATCTAAACCGTAGTTCCGACCTTCAGCATGTTCAGTTGGCTGGTTTGTTTTGTTGTTGGTTCGTAAATAAGTACTGCTGATTAGTTTGTATGAGAGAAAAATACTGTTTTAATTAAAAATTTATGATTTTTTACAAAAAGCCACGGCCAAACGAACCAGCTGCTTATCGTCAAATCTAGCACTCACTGTGACGCACTGTTTCAAGTCAATCAGGGCCACGTTTAGTTCATCCAAATTTCAGAATTTGGTACTATGCAAAAAAGAAGATTCCCCGTTACATTAAACTTACGGTATATGTATGGAGTACTAAATGTTGACGAAATCAAAAACTAATTGCACAGTTTAGTTGTACTTTGCGAGACGAACGTTTTGAGCCTAATTAGTCAACGATTGAACAATTATTATCAAATAAAAACAAAAACGCTACAACGCAACAGTGCCGCAACAGTGCCGCGAATTTGGGCGGCGTCAAATCTGGGGCCGAACTAAACGCGGCCCAGAACCACATGATCCAAGATTGAGCGGGTTGCTGAGTGCTGACGCGTGACGTTGTGCGGATCTGCACTTGTGAACTGCACGCTCGAAACGAAAGGGCTGCCCTGCCTGCCACTGCCAGCGATCTAGTGCTGCTCTCTGGTGGCCTTCCAGTTCCAGTGTGAACGAAACCCTAGCGTAGTGCCTAATTTTATTTTTATGATTTGATTTTTTTTAAGAAAATTTATATTTAACTCTAGAAAAAATTAAACTTATCTTTAAATCCTAGATCAGCGCCATGAGTCCTGACGTCCAGATAAAATATCTCGGCGCCCTAGATTTTGACACAGATATATCTGACCGTGCACATCTCGACGCCGTCACATAACTTAGCGCCGAGGCTCAACGCTATGTATTCTGGCGCTGCATTCAAAGCGTTGGGTGGGCTTTCACTGCCCTGACCGTGACCTGACCAAAGCGGTGGCAGTAGTGGCACCGCGGCGCGAGGCAGCGTCGTTCCCAAGGCCACTGCACACTGCGCATGGGCACACGGCTGCAGCGTTTACACAGTAGCAGTACTACTAGTAGCACTGTAGCAGGAGCATCGCACCACCACCGGCGCAGGTCAGGTCCCGCGTGCCCGTCCGTCACGCTCGCTCACAGCAGGGCAGAGCGAAGGGCTGTGCGCCTGGGCCTTGGGGCACGGCCACGGCCCCTTCGTGGGCAACTGGCCAAGGTACAGGGGCCACCCCTGAAAGGCTGAAACAGGGTAGTGGAGGCAGGTTGCCATGCCTCGCTTTTTGACCGGTTGGGTTGGGTTGGGTCCGGCCTCGGCAGGATACTGGAGGCAGGTGAGGTGGGGCACCACTGCAATCGCTTCTGTAGTCTGCCCTCTGCACCGCAGCAGCTTTGTAGCGAAGGAGCGAGCCGAGGGCCGGCCGGAGGGAGAACGAGCATTTATGACAGCACAGTGTTTCGCTGCTTTCCTGCTGCCCCCAGGCCCTCTTCCATGCAAGGCACACGGAGCACGCGGTGCACTGCGTTATCGTTCATCGCTCATCCGGTAAAAAGAGGAAAAAGGCACCACTGTTTCTGTCACGTCAATCCTATAGCACCGTGATAAACATACGTACGTTTACTGTTTTACAGCGTTTAGGTTTGTTTAGCTTATAAGCCATCGCTGAAAATACTATTAACAAGTTTGATTTAAAAAAAAATACTCTTTGTTGGCTGATAAGTCATGGCTTATAAGCCAAATACGATCAAACGAACTTGCTGTAATCGTAGTTGACTGTTCGCTGGCTCATAAGCCATTGTTGAATATACAGTTAACTAATTTATTGTAAGAGAAAATATCATTTGTTGATGGAAAAAATACGGCATATAAGCAGCGAACAAGGCGAACGTACCAGCCCAAGCCCCACCTGCGAAAAGCACGTCAGCGCATCAGTACAAGCTTTCATTGGCCCCGTCGCTGCTGCTTGCTTGCTTTCACATCTCGTGATTCTCTCGCCAGTGATGCTGCTATAGTACAAGTACAAGCCGTGTGGGAAGAGTATATACACCGTATATGCAAAAGCCAGGTTCATAATCACAGTATATCCACAGATATGGCTGCAGTCAGTAGTAGTACGGTGCTAGCTGGCGTATTGAAACTTGAACTCCTACCTAGCATATCCAAGAGATATGGCACCAATCCGAAGCAGCGGGGGATACGCATGGATACCGACACAAAGCCGTATTTGATAATAGTTGTCCAAACGTTGATTAATTAGGCTCAAAGTATTCGTCTCGCAAAGTACAACTAAACTGTGCAATTAGTTTTTTATTTCGTCAATATTTCGTACTCCATACATGTACCGCAAATATGTACCGCAAGTTTGATGTGACGGAGAATCTTTTTTTTGCAAAGTGCTAAAGTTTAGATTTGAGGTGAACTAAACAGTGCCAAAGTGGCAGACGCCGCAGACAAAAGCTTTTGAGGGTGTGTTTAGTTTCCAATTTTTTTTTCTCCTACAATAAAAGAGCATGTTTGGACATATGTATGGAGTACTAAATGCAGATGAAAAAAATAATAATTGTATAGTTCTTGACAAAATCGCGAGACGAATCTTTTAAGTCTAATTAGTCCATGAAAAGCCTTAAGTGCTACAGTAACCCACATATGCTAGTGGTAGATTAATTAGTATCATTAGATTCGTCTCGTAGTTTTCTGATGAGTTGTGTAATTTATTTTTTTTATTAGTATTCAAAAATCCTTCTCAACATTCTTTCGACATATCCGATGTGACACCTAAAATTTTTTACCAACCAAACTAAACACACCCTGAATTAAAGCATGCGCTGCTGCTGCCGGACACTGACAGCACTGCTACACGCTAGCTTTTGAATTAAAAGCGGACAGAGTGGTTTCCTGTCCATTATCGGCGCCACAGTTTGTGGCGCCAGCTGTGGCACCGATCTTGACACTATGTATTATGCGGCGAGCCATGTTAACACCATCTAAGATTTCGACCAGACACCTTAACGTTAAGATTTATGGCGGTGAGACATGTTACCTCGGTATCATGAGTCCTGACGCCGACCCTAGAATTCAAAGATGAGTTTACTTAAAGGGTTACATTGTAAAAAAATATGAGCGCAGCACTAGTAGATTGCTCTCGCTTCGTCCCGGCAACTGCAACGGATATGATCATCGTACGAGTTGTAGCGTGCTGCGTTGCTCCGCTAGCTTGTTCAACTGCAGGCGGTCCACAATGGCCGTGACCTTGTGCGTTCTTGTCCCGTGTCTGTGTCTGCCGCGGTCACGATCACCCGTGTCTGTGCCTCGCCACTCTGAATTTCCCGGGTTCTCCAGAGCCGATCGCTTCAATTTGTCAGCGGTGGAACGGTGGATCCCTCCCGCCGCGTGCCTACACGATTTCCGCACAACGTGCCCTGGACGGCAACGACAATCTGTGGGCAACGAAAGACGCAGATCGATTTTCCTCCGATCGGAAGTGGATCCGAGTGTGCGCAGGGACCATGCACGGGCAAGCGGCGAGCGTGCGTACATGTTGATGTCAAGCGCTGGAGGCTGGACCATCATGCGCAGCACGACTGCACGAGCCACGAGGTCTCATGGACGAATATTCGCCTGTCGCCGCCCATGTGCCAGCCAAGTTGCCGGCGCCCGGCGCTCTGCCGCTCATCCCGCAAAGGAGGAAGCTGGATGGGCAGGCGCGTACGTAGCGCAGATTAGCTTGCGGTTGCGGACATGAGCAACGCGAGACAAGCGGTGGCCGGCTGGCCCCGGCGTGCGGCGTGCTCACGAGACGACAATTCGATCGGGCCGGGCCTGGCATTTGGGAGCAGGAACCGAGGAGTGACCACTTCGGATTTGGCACTACTACCTTATCGCATCCCAGCTACATCTTTGACTGCATACACGTCCATCCATCCATTCCAGCAGCTGTCGTCAGTCGCCCTCCCAGTCAGTCAGTCAGTCAGTCGTCCCTCTTGCCCCTGTTCTGCTTCTGCCTTCGTTCGTCGTCCTTCTTAAGGCGCACCCGGGCACGCACGCACGGCGACACCACGCCTGCGTTGGCTGATCATGGCGGCTAGAGCTCCGCTGCTCCTCGCGCTGCTGTGCGCGTGCGTCGCCGCCCTCGGCCCGGCCAATGCGGCGGCGGGGAGGAAGATGGTCGGCGTGTACGAGCTCAAGGCGGGCGATTTCTCCGTCAGCGTCACCAACTGGGGCGCCATCATCACCTCCGTCGTCCTCCCGGATTCCAACGGTGCGTTCGACTTTCCTCTGATCCTCTCTGCAAGAATCCATCCATGGCGTCCGTCCTCTCTGCTGTACGTGTGCGATTATTTACCAGCGTATTTACTCTGCCTCCCCAACTTCCTTTCCAGGGGATTTGGCTGACGTCGTGCTTGGCTATGACACCATTGGAGGATACGTGGTAAGGTCCACTATCACACACTGCTCCCGTTCTTACTGACATAACCTATGTTGCGCCCACAGCTTGGTGTATGTTTATCTCTGCAACAATTCTACGAACTGTACTACTGCTTATCAGTTTGCACCTTGCTGACCGATGCAGATGTGGCCTGCATAACGTAGTGAGCCTTCGACATGCATTCCTTTTCCTTCCTAATTTTCAGTTTTCGAATTTGCTCCATACTTGATACTTCGTATTCGTAGTATATATGCAAGGAGAAGATGTATTCAAATTCCTTGGGCATCGAATATCCCGCAAAACCGCTGTCAACTAGTCAATCATTCAGGGATATAAAAGTAGAGAAGGCCATCAGATTGAAAACAACCACAAGGACCTATGTCGTCGCTTTCAGTTTGAGCTGAGTTTTCTACACGGGGAGGTCCCAGGCAGAGAAAACAACCCCCACAGGCCACTCAAAAATTGAGATGTGTTCGCCACGTCTCAACCTTTCTAAAACACAGAGAGATAAGTATATTTGGTGATGAAATAGAAGAAGAAGAAAAACAAGAGAGAGTGGAGAAAAGAAAGAGAAACTCTGGAGAACCAGAAGAATCGACAAAACGATTTGGAGATTAGCTGGATGCAGTTTAATTTCTTTATTTATGCCGGTGGCCATGTTACCCGTGAGACAACCTCCACCACGTGATCTACTGATCTCTGTCCAAGACTGTGACTTGTTCACTTGTTCCCCAGCTTTTTAACCATACAAATTCAGAAATATTTCTTACCATTTTATCCTCTTTTCTGAAGCTTCACTTGTCATGTAGTATACTTCGTAGTTATCGACTTCCAGTGTGGTTGCGATTTAGTCACAGCACTAAAAAAAGGATAGCATAGTGACCAAGCTAATTAAATCTAGCCAGAGCCAATAGGAGAACAGGTTAAATGCAATCTTTTTTTTTTCTAAAAAAGCAACTTTGCCAACCTTTTGCCAATAGGACAACAGTTCAAATTGAATTCTTCCACAGTTCTGCAGTGTGCTATAGTATATTCAGTTTTGTTCTCAATGGATAAGTAAATAAAGCTCCTAACTTGTTTTTTCAGATAATGTCCTAACTTGTTTTACTGTCAGAGTGGTAAAAGCTACTTTGGAGCACTTGTTGGACGAGTAGCCAACAGAATTGCCAATGCACGTTTCGTGCTTGATGGAAAAGTTTATCATCTTTTTAAAAACGATGGCAACAACACACTTCATGGTATATGCTTCAGGGTTCAGTGAATTGAAATGTTCTCAGTTCTAGATAACTCCACTATGCTCCATGAACAATGGCAAAATTTACCTTACCCTTGTTCAGGTGGCCATAGGGGTTTCAGTCAGGCTATATGGACGGTTAAAGAATTTGTCGGCGGCGGTGCCTCGCCCTACATCACACTGTACTACCATAGTTTCGATGGAGAACAAGGTAACACTGAGACATTACATACTCTCTCAGTCCAAAAACAAAACACATCTTTTTCAGAACCAATCTTCATTTAAACCCTCTGCCCCTTCTTTGAGAAAATTTTCAAACTTTGGAACCCCAGACACGGTCAAATCTGTAACATCAGTACTGGTATTCAAGGTTTGACTGATTGCCGGGAGTTGAATTGAGAAACTGAAAACGGCACATGCATGTGTTGAACAGGTTTCCCAGGCGACCTGGACGTGTACGTGACGTACCAGCTGGCGTCCCCGTACGTCCTGCGCGTGCACATGAACGCGACGGCCGTGAACAAGGCGACGCCGGTGAACCTGGCGCAGCACACGTACTGGAACCTGGGCGGGGAGGGCAGCGGCGACGTCCTCCACAACACGGTGCAGCTGTTCGCGTCCCGGTACACGCCCGTGGACAGCGCCCTCATCCCGACGGGCGTCGTCGCACCCGTGGCCGGCACGCCCTACGACTTCCGCGCCCCGACGCCCGTGGGCTCGCGCATCCGCCAGGTCTCCGGCGGCAAGGCCGGCGTCTACGGCTACGACACCAACTACGCCGTGGACGGGGAGGACGGGGCGCTGCGGAAGGTGGCCGTCGTCCGGGACGGCGCGTCGGGGCGGGCGATGGAGCTGTGGGCGAACCAGCCTGGGGTGCAGTTCTACACGGGCAACTTCCTCCTGGACGTCGTGGGGAAGGGCGGCAAGGTGTACGGGCAGTACGGCGCGCTGTGCCTGGAGACGCAGGGGTTCCCGGACGCCGTGAACCACCCGGACTTTCCCTCCCAGATCGTCAGGCCGGGGCAGGTGTACAAGCACGATATGGTGTTCAAGTTCTCCTTCTAGCTAGCAGCCACAATAATGTCCATCAGTTTCGCAAAAGCTCCTCATCGACAACAACAAGAATATACTACATGGTTCGGAGCCAATTTGCGAACCGTAATGTTTGTCGCCAAGATTATGTACTAACCAATCCAATCGAATCATGCACAATCTGAAATCAAATTCACGAATCATTTTTCTAGTTCTGTTTATACTATGAACCAAAGTGCTGTTTTTTTTTTTGCATGGACCGTGCTACATAAGAAAAATCCTCACGACAAACAATTTAATGAAGCGTGGATGGCCAAACGACCCTGAATGCAAGTTATGTGGAAGCGATCATGAAACACCACGTTCACTAAAACGGCATGGAAGGATATCAAGCAATGGTTCAGTTTATCAGTGCTTAACACGGTTGATACAAATGGATCGCTTAATTCATACTACTGGTGGAAGTGCAGGAGGAGTGGACAAAACCCAGAGACGAGATTTGTATGGGATCTTAATCTTTTACTTTTTGGTGGAATATTTGAAAGGAAAATAATAGGCAAACCTTCCAGCACAAAACCTTAACTCCAAGACAAGTTGCATTTTTGTGCAAGTATGATATTCTCTAGTAGAAGGGCGGGCCTGGTGCAAGCGGTAGAGTCTTACCGCCTGTGACCAGAAGGTCCCGGGTTCGAGTCGTGGTCTCCTCGCATTGCACAAGCGAGGGTAAGGCTTGCCACTGACACCATTTCTCAGACCCCGCACAGAGCGGGAGCTCTCTACACTGGGTACGCCCTTTTATGATATTCTCCAGTACCGTGCGGCCACGGCCACCGTGCAAAATCTAGCAATATCGCAGTTGTCCCTTAGTTGCGGTGAGTCACAGTAGTTACTGGACAGTTAGCGAGCCCCTCTTGTGTTGGTGTTTCTAAGTCGGTTTTTTTTTGGGGGGGGGGCAACTTTGTTGCTCTTTTCTCCCCCAATGTAGGCTCAACTGTCCAGCTGTAAATACTTTGTAAAGCTCTTGCCTTTTCTTTTTATCGTCTAATAAAATCTACAACAAAGCTTTTGTCATCCTTTCTAAAAAATATAATAAAAGAGCAATACATTTGAAGAATATTGTACCCACACAACGGCTACTTACCCACCATATATTTTGGAATTGCGTGACTCAATTTAAATCAATTTAGAGTTATTTGGGGCGGATGGCAATATGACAGCCGCGTGGGTCTAAACCACAGAAATGTAGGGTTTACACATGTGTGCTACTATAAAAGAGAGACATTTGGAAAATGCTATCCACCCAAAGGTTACTTACCCACCTTATATTTGGACTTAAGATGGCTAAATCTGGATCAATTAGAGGGCCACAGTCCCATAAGGTGCAAAAGACAAACTTAAGGGGTTACACATATTCACTACTATAAAAGAGAGAGACATTTGAAAAGTAGTAACCATCCAAAAGCTACTTATCCATCCTATATATGGACTCTCAGATGACTCAACTTAAATCAATCTAGACATTTGAAGAATGGAAACCACCCAAAGGGTACTTACCCATCCTGTATCTGGACCCTTGGGTGACTAAACCTAAATCAATCTATATCTAAATCAATTAGGGGGCCACAACCTCACAAGGGTGAAAAAGACAAACTTAAGGGTTTCCACTATAAAAGAGTGAGACATTTGGAATATAGTAACCACCCAAGGGCTATTTATCCATGCTATATCTGGATTCTTGGATGACTCAACCTAAATCAATACAAACATTTGGAGAATGCACTCGACCTAAAGGTATATGAACCCTTGGGTTACTAAACCTAAATCAATCTAGACATTTCTACTTACCCGCTCTATGTTTGGCCCTAGGATGTCTTAGTATAAATCAACTTAGAGGTTATCTAAACCGGACACTATAAGGGTGTAAACAACGTAAACGTAAGGGACTACGCATGTCTGCAACCATAAAAGAGATATTTAGAAAATACTACTATGTACCTAGTGGCTACCTACGTACTCTATATGTGGACCTTATTATATGACTCGACCTAGAGGTTACGTGAAACGTTTCACCATCATACATAGTGCCACAATGATGTAGATGGTACATATGTCAAAGGTTACACCTATTTGTCACCGAAAACACCCTCGTGTTGTTATTTTTCAGCACGAGGCTGAGATTTTTGTTTCCCTTCCCTCGTCGCTTCCTTTTTCGTTTGTATCGTTTAGAAAAACAATGTATTTTCTAGATAAATATTTTTTGCATAGTAAAAATTTCTAGCTCTGCCACTTGCCCTTATGCATGCATTTTGTGTGCTCAGATTGCACGAATGAAATATATATGACTCTATAAAACGTACAGCAGTAGTTAAAATCAATGCTTGTGTTACAGAGAAGTCGTCCAGTTGAGAGATTTTTTTTTTTTAGTTTTGTTGCGTCTTTCTAGGTAGCTTTTCCCCGATGACTGGTCCAAGCTGCACACGGCGAAATTAGCCGACGACCGCTTCATCAAGCCCGTCCAAACCATCGGCATCGCCCAACTGATAGCCGCCTATATTAGGCGACCGGTGTCCATCACTTGCGGCAGAGCTCGGCAGCCGCATGCCTGCAACTGCAACTCCTCCCCTCTCCTCCTCCTCCCCAGTCCCCAGTGTGCTCCCGTGCTTCCGCTAGCCATCGCTGGCCGCCAATGGCGAGGCGTGAGCAGTTCCTCGCGCTGCTGCTGTGCCTCGCGGCCTGCGCGCTGGCCACCGGCCCCGCTGACGCGACGAGGAAGACGGTCGGGGTGTACGAGCTCAAGAAAGGGGATTTCTCCGTCAGGCTCACCAACTGGGGCGCCAGAGTCATGTCCGTCGTCCTCCCAGACTGCAAAGGTACCTTACCTTACCTGCAGTGTCCATGCTTCATGTCTCCTCTTCACCCCCCTTGTTTCCTTCCTTTGGTACCAAGCTTGATGATTTCAGGCGTGTCTTTCTGCAGGGAATTTGGCTGATGTCGTCCTTGGCAGAGACACCATCGCTGAATACGTCGTAAGCTCGCCAAAAACCACTCTGAATGTTCCTTTTCTTTTATCTTTGTATGCACTGTTCTTCCATCTTTCTTCAGCAGTATGCCCTGCATCTGCATTTGCCGTCCGTTCGTTGAACATGAACAGATATGGGCGAGAACAATGCACGGTGCAGGCACACAAACTTATTGTTAGAGTGGCGTGCACGGTGCAGGCACACAACCTGTCTGTTCAAGCTGCAGTCCAATAAGTTTACTACATCTAGTAAATGCCAAAAGTTGATCCTTAATCAGCATGACCTAATGCACTATTAAACATAAGCACCCACCCAATAAGGTTGTCCTCAAGCGAGATTCAATAACTCAAATAGTACCATCGATTTGTCATCTGCTTTGTAGTACCACTAGTACTTTTCTTTCTCTGAACGGCTGAAACACGAGAATACAGCATGTTTAAGACAATCTACTTGCACGTCATGCTCGCTTGTTCATGCAACGGAGTACTACAATATATATTTAAGACATCAAGATGTTAATGTAAGGAAAACGTGATGAATCATGAAGAACCGAAAGTTGACAGATAATCTGTAGCTATTCTCCGCTTTAGGTTCAGTTTGGATGTTATGGTTTTTCAGAAACTGTAGTATCAATAATGAACTTTAGTTTTGAAACAAGAGATACATGAAACCATAATTTTTTTTAAAAAAAAAGAGAGGGTTAGAGTAAAGTTTCTAAAGCTCCAAAAAAGACTAGAGTTTTAGCTACCATGGTTTTCAAAACTGTAAAAAAATCATTGCATTCAAACACATTATAGTTTTCAAAACCAAAGTATTTTACAAAACCATGACCTTTTTTGAAACAATAAAATACTTTGTATCCAAACAGGCTAGTTCACACAAAACCTCTGCACTATATGCAATTATTGTAGTCCCTTTCCTGAGGTCATACTGGTCAAATAAAGTTGCATCACTCAAGGAGAACTTTCCAAGAACAAGATAATCCTTCGCCACCAACCAAATTTCAGAAACGTTTATCCACTAGTCATCTCATCAAGCTTTAAGCTGCCTGAAAGTGACATGTTTGCTGTATTTTTTCTTCTGTGTTATATCCAATATCCTCATTTCGAGTTTCTCTCTGCAACTTGCTCTGTCCAACCAGAATGATACCGAGTACTTCGGGCCGATAACGGGCCGCATAGCACAGAGAGTTGCCCGGGGCCGGTTCGTCCTCGACGGCAAGGTCTACCACATGCACAGGAACGACGGCAGGAACACCATTCACGGTACATCCAGATAGAGCCCATGATTGATCCTGTACATTAGTACATACTACACCGCGTTTAATCGATTCTTTCAGATGCTTATGCATATCAGTATACGTTCTTGTTGTTCATCAGGTGGTGACAGAGGGTTCAGCAGAAGCATTTGGACGGTGAAGGAGTACGTAGGCGGCGGCGAGTCACCCTACATCACCTTCTACTACCGCAGCTTCGACGGAGAGCAAGGATTACCGGGGAATGTGGACGCGTACGTGACGTACCGTATGTCGGGGCCGTACACGCTGGGGGTACACATGAACGCGACGGCGCTGGACAAAGCGACGCCGGTGAACTTCCTGCTGCACGTGTACTGGAACCTGGGCGGGGAGGGCAGCGGCCGCGACGTGCTGGGCCACACGCTCCGGCTGCACGCGTCGCGGTACGCCGTGCTGGACGACGAGCTGCTCCCTTCGTCGGGGCGCATCGAGCCCGTGGCCGGCACGCCGCTGGACTTCCGGACGCCCACGCCGATCGGGTCCCGCATCCGCCAGGTCGTCGTCATGGGCGGCCGCGCCGTCGGGTATGACGCCAACTACATCATCGACGGCGGCGGGGAAGGGGCGATGCGGCCCGTGGCGCAGGTCCGGGACGCCGCGTCCGGCAGGGCGCTGGAGCTGTGGGCGAACCAGCCGACCATGCAGCTCTACACGGGGAACTTCCTCAACCACACCGCGGGCAAGGGCGGCAAGGTGTACGACAGGTACGCTGGGTTCTGCCTGGAGACGATGGGGTACGTGGACGCCGTGAACCACCCCGAGTTCCCGTCGCAGACACTCAGGCCCGGCCAGGTGTACAAGCACGATATGGTCTACAAGTTCTCCTTCTAGGTGATGATGATTACGACGACGTTTGGTGTACTGTGCACAGGCACGATGTAGAAACAGTTCACCATTGGTATGTGGAGGGCAATCAATAATCTTTGGATAACAAGAGATGACATCTTTTTTTTCTCTTCGGTGTTTTCAAAGAGATGAGTAACCGAATTCGTGCTTTCAGCATCAACGATGGATGGATGGCCTTTCTTCTCGGTAAGAGTTGACAAATCAGATTTTCCATGAGTCCTCAGAGAGAGGAGATTAGAAAAGACAAGCAGAATGTAAATAAATAAATCTATAAACAACTACAACACGGCACCAACAAATTTAGCTAGAAAAAAAAAAGATTGAGGTTGGCCATACATAATGGTGTAGTATGTATTTATAGCTAACTTGTTATATAGGTGTGCTATTAGATTGGACGTAGATGATGTGGTAATAATATACAACGAACAACTTTCACTATGCTCTTAGCTAGGCTTATTCCCTTGCACATTAGGGTGATATCAAATTACATAGCTTTCTAATTAAGGAGTGCCCTTCATTAAGAAATAAAAGCCTGAGTAAGTATTACACATCCTAAAAAACAAATTTCTTTAGTCCTAATTAAGATGTGTAAGATAAAGAAATGGAAGGAGCACCAACTTAGAGTCATGATACTATATATTGGATGAGCTATAACAATTTATATGACAATACTTTACATGATAAAATGCATTGGAAGTACTTACAAACTCATGATAAGATTCTTTTTTAGTGGGTGGGTGGGTGGGGTTGGAGAGGGGAGCGTTTGTGGAGGTCGGGAGGAATGTGGTTCAATAAGAATTTGTGTCCTCCCTAGACCTGGGCAAATAGAAGAGTGGTGGTACTAGTGAGACAAGGGTCACTTGCTAGAGACGAGGTATGGTAGGTGGCCTGTTACATGGTTGGGTAACGATGGCATAGTTGGAAATGGATTGCTGGAAACGAAGCTGAATCCAAGTATGTACTATAAACCAACAAGTTATTCACATGCTAGCTGACTAAATTTCAGCTATATTGAACCACATTTCACTTCTCATACCAATTTTGTATCATATTTATGCACTAGTGAATTTGTTGATAACAAAACTATTAAACTCCCACTCAAATACAACACTCTACAAACCAAATCATCTATGAACCATGCAAATCAGTGAATCATGAGTTTGGTGACAGATCAATAATAAACTCTCCAAGTTCGCTGAAAAAACAATATTGTTTATAACTCTAATCACAAGCTTAATTTGGACTGGTATATACATTGATGTACAAAAAGAAGCTTCCTCTTACCTTCGTCCCTTATATCTTCTCTTTTGTTTGTTGTTCTTTCTTTTAAAAACATGGTATACACATGATTGATCACATATACATACACTCACCCAATACAGCACATACACCCCACCCTCATGAATTCCTATGGGCGACTTATAAACCAATAAATCTTGAGATCCAAGAAGTCACTATAGTATTGCCTGTAATAGAATGGAAAAGCCACAATAATGAGACATACATAGAATCAAACATATGGTTTGATACATCATGGATAGAAGATACACCCACCTCTAGTTACTATCTAAGTTATTGCACTGTTTGGTTCTTCTATCCTTTATTGTTGGCTTGTTTTTCCATTCGGTTATTGTGCTATGCAGCTCCTACCATGCCTATTGCATACTATGCTTTCTCTCAGTCAATCAACATAAATAAGGTATAAGAGAGAAGGGCTTGCTCTAATATTAATCTCCGTTGTCCCATCACAACGGTAATCCTCACTCAAATGCATCATGTTATGTTCGGCACCTAAGCTAAATTGTTCTTGGTAAGTATGGACATTTGGCACAAACTGTTCCACCAACTCATGTTCTTTCATTGGCTAGTAATTTTAAGGGGCATATATGTCGAAAGTTTGTGGATAAATTTGGGGCCTACACACATCTAATCAAAGTTGATTATAGTTTTATCTAATTTGTTTGTATTCTAACACAATGCTCATCTAGATACCTTGTATTCTTTATCTAGTTGGAATATACATTAGTTCTAATTACTCTATATGTTTTTTTCATCCTATTGTAAGGAAAACCGACACTTGGCCATTTTCTAGTGTGGTTTTGGTGATTGCAATGGCAGCATGGGCAATAGGACTAACATGTGTTAGACAGACTCATTTAGGTCCTATGAATGCAAGAAAACAAGTGGTGTGAAGTCTCAAGAAGGAACACCAAATAAATCAAGAAAACAAAAGCAAATGACCTAGTCAGAGGGCCTGCATGTCTTGAAAAAGATAACATTGGAGAATCTACATATGTGTGTAGTGAACACAGTGGCTGAGAGCACTATGCATTTACAAGGACCGAATGATCTGATAATGGAGAATAAGAGTTCAACCAGACATTCTAGCAACCAAAAGAAGGGCATCACCAGATAAATAACATGAGCACAGGAGGAACGCTAGTTCTGGGAGCTACACAAATCACACAATCTGTAGAGAAAATACACACATCGAACTATTCGGACAGTGTTTTTTACCATCATTTTGCAAACGTGTATTTGAGGTGGATCTGTTATATATACTTGGTTCCATTGGCCACCTAAAGTGTGTGGCAGTGCCTTGAAGCGGTGGAAAGTCACAGCAAGTGTTGGAACAATCCATTCCTCGTATGAGAATTTAGGGCCCGTTTGGATCCTTGGAATTGAATTTATTATAATAATTACAATTTAGACATAGATTAATTAAGCTAATATAGTTATATATGGGATATATTTGTATATTTATTGTTAGGCATATAAGGAACATACTTATATGTTGCTATAAGTTGGAGAGTAGAATTATAGCATAGTGATCTATAGAATCAATTTCTATCCCACACCCAATGAATTTGAGATGGACTTATTTGTGAGCTTGAAAAAGTTATGGAATGTCAAATTTCAAGCCAAATAGCCTAATCCATTAAGTAGATTTCAATTCCTCCAAAATGAAGGGATCCAAACGGCCCTTAGAGATAAAAGCTAATGTTAGTTCACATCATTGTGAGAGTGTTATCTCCTTAGTTTAAGATCTTGAGTGTTGGGCTTTGTGCACTTGTGATCTTGGTAAGGTGGAGCACTTTGAATTTTGGTGACTCTATGGTGACGTCAACCCTCCGAGCTTGGTGTAGAGCTGCGGCAACTCCATAGTGGAAAGTTCCAAAGTGGCCAAGAGTGTTGGACGGCGGTGGTGAGCCTTGGTGGTTTGTGGCACTTGCCTTGGTAAGCAATAGCCTTTGTGGCGATAAGTACCAAGTATGAGCTCTCGTCTCTTATACTTTGTCACAACTTTAGATTAGTTTCAAAATAATAGAGGTAGATAATTTTCTTATAAACAAAATAGATCGAATAACAACTTCAGTCTACTGAATTCATGACCATACCCTTGAAGATTAAATTAAGTGAGGCTAGAAGAGAAGTATCTAGTTGAGAATTGAGGGTAGCTAAGTTGGTTATGTTTTTATATAGTGTAACCTACTAAACTAGGCTTGATTCTTTGGCTCAAAACATTTGCCCATATTTATTACTAAATATTTTAAATCATATAGTATAAATACTCCCTCTGTCCCTGAAAGAATAAACTCTTAGCAACTTTAGGACAGATTAGCAATCAAGAGAAAAGACTATAATGCCCCTGACTGAACATCAATAGCTCTCCGGTTGCCAAGAGCCCAAGAGTCTTCCAAAATAATTAAGAGGTGTCGTTTGGAGTATTCAAAGAATATTAAATACTGTTGTACTGTTGGGAGCTCTCAACTAGTCCAGCACCCAAAATGGGCATTGCCTTCTTCTTCCTCAAGTCTAGAACAACTTCGCATTCTTGACCCTCTTGATCTCTCCATGAGAGGTGACGCACAGCTGGCTTCGAGGTCCAATCAGGGGGCTCCGAGCCCGAATCACGCAGCCATGGATCATGCTGCCGCAGCCTTCGAGCTTGCCGCCCTACGAGCCTGTCGTCGTCACCTTCAAGCCTGCTGCTGCGGCCATGGCCATCTCCTTGCTCCATGACTGCGGGCTTGGGGATTGGAAAATTTGGAGGCAACATATGTGGAAGGGGATTGAGGAATTTGGGGGCAAGGGGCGTGAAAGAGGGAGACAAGAGGGGCTGTGATTAAATGTGATCGAGACTTCGAGGAGGAATAAATTGGGTCGATAGACCATCTACTCCAACAAAAATTTTTTCTCTAGGAATCAATTCTTTCAGGAACGGATAGATGGAGTACACTCACAAATATACACGCATGCTTAACACTTATTCTATTAGTAGAACATGTGGCCGTTAACAGTGGAGGCATTAATGTGACTTTGTCGATCCCGAGATTTATTATCACGATCACTCATAAATGCTCATAGAAATTATGTGCGTGTAGACGATCATCCACATTTGAATATATTTCTCAAAATTAATATATTTTATCTTTTTTTTTCTAGCATAGACTCTGAGGTAACACAAGCCTTGAAAAAGTCTATAGTTGACTTTTACGTATAAGAAGAACAATGGCAGGCAGCCAGGCATTGACAGCCCGGACAACCTAAAACGAAAACGAAGCCGGCCGGGCATGCAGGCCGATTGGCAATGGCACAGCACACACGCGTGCTAGCTGACCAAGCCCACAACTTTGACCAAGACCAACACAAAAAAAATAAAAAAAATAAATAGAAATAGAAAAAAAACTAAAAATACATTCAAAGCTGTCCAGATCATTCAAGCGCAGCTGTACCTACACATTTGTATAAAAAAAAAGATGAAAACGTACCCTATAGGGAACCCCGTGAGGATCTGTTAGGTATTCACGTCTCAGCGAGCTCACCTCCTCTTAGATTTATGTAACTTTTTGAATTGTTCATCTAAATAAATTTATTTATATTCATCCTCTTTGCTTGAGCTTATCTATTATGATACAGTATTTTTTTCTCACGGCAAAGCAGCATCCGACTTGTATAGTCCCAGACGTTATGCTCGTGGTCCTCATGGTACGCTACACCCCTCCTGCCCTCCCTCTCCTCAGCCTCAATTTCTTCGGGTCTTGTCGGCTCACCTGCTACGGCTAATATTCATATACTGTTTATGGGCCACCGGGATTGTCGGCTCCTTTGCGCTACAGGTGTGGAGCCGGAGCTAGGAGGAGGCCGGCCAAACGATTGCCTCGGCAGTAGCCAACGACGACCGACGTACGACGTCGTACACCCCTCCTCTCTCGGGCTCTTCCTTCCTGGCAATCTGTCGCAGCAAGCAAGCTACAGCGTCCATTAGTTGGCCCGGCAATGGCTGGGGTTCAGCTCCTTGCGCTGCTGAGCCTCGCGGTCGCGGCCTCCTCCCTGTCCATGGGCGCGCAGGCCACCACCGGGCCCGATGCGAGGAAGGTCGGCGTGTACGAGCTCAAGCTGGGGGATTTCTCCGTCAAGGTCACCAATTGGGGTGCCAGATTAATGTCCGTCGTCCTTCCCGACTCCAAAGGTTCGTCAGTGCAGTCCTCTCTTATTAGCTTCCTGCTGTCGCCTCTGCATATATATGCCTTGATGTGGTCATCGCCCTCGCCCCTTGTCGCTGCAATTCTCTCTTGGGCTCCCATCCCAGGCTAAAGTTCAGGCTCGTACGTGGTTCTGCAGGGAATTTGGCTGATGTCGTCCTGGGCAGAGACACCCTCGCTGAATACTTTGTAAGATCAGCAGAAGCCCTCCTCGATTTCTTTTCTAGCTAATCCAAGATCTTTCTTTCTCCTGCATAGCGAGTGTGTGTTGCATTTACCTTGCTTCTTTTCTTCTTCGTTTTTCACCCTGCCTGCCTGTATCAATTCGTCTACGAATTCCCACTTCTCTAGATTGACAGATTTTGCAGTAGTCACTCGCTCTCCAAACATAGTAACTTCATTTCTTTGCCAACTGTATACAATTCTCAATCATTCTACTCTCTCTTTCCTAAAGTTTTACAAGCCCAAGCACCACGGTCGGTCAAGAATTTGAAAACCAAGCATGAGCTAGAAGAATATTAGGCCACCAACCAAACTTTTAGAAAAGAAAAGGGCAACTAGCTACAAGCTGGCAAGCTTTGGGATGGAAGGAAATTAATGAATATTACATTGTGATTTGTGCTGTACAGGATGGCCCTCCATCGTTATCTTATTCCCCTAATTTAAAACTGACAAAGATCGTGCAGATACAGATCGATACTCGAGATCATGCCTTTTTTTTCCGAGAAAAACAATACTCCAGATCATGCAAGTGTCGATACGCATCATGTGAATGGGCAAATGGCACACTGCTGAATTTCAACTTGGTCCTTAGTGTTTCCTTGTCTCACATCAAGGTTTTTCCCCTGCGTCTTCGCTCTTCCCACGTAGAACGACACTTCTTACTTCGGGCCGATCGCCGGCCGCGTAGCACAGCGGATATCGAGGGGCCGCTTCGTCCTCGACGGCAAAGTCTACCACCTGCAACGAAACGACGGCAAGAACACGATCCACGGTACGGTTCGCCTTCGCCTACACCCAGAGCGCCAGAGGATTGCTCTGTTCCAAAACAATCCCAACACCATGATCGATCGATGAGTCGCCTTCTGTGTCGATCGATCGGTCCTTGAGTTCCACTGCTATTCATGAGCGAGATCGATCATTCGTTCACCTGCAACTGTATCTGTTCGTTCACTCAGGCGGTGGCACCGCGTTCAGCAAAAGCGCCTGGACAGTGAAGGAGTACGTCGGCGGCGGCGACTCCCCGTACATCACCCTGTACTACCGCAGCTTCGACGGCGAGCAAGGCTTCCCGGGGAGCCTCGACACGTACGTGACGTACCGGGTGTCGGGCCCCTACACGCTGGGCGTGCACATGAACGCGACGGCGCGGGACAGGGCGACGCCGGTGAACCTGCTGCTGCACGCGTACTGGAACCTGGGCGGGCACGGGGAGGGCATCGGCCGCGACGTGCTGGGCCACACGCTCCGGCTGCACGCGTCGCGGTATGCCGTGCTGGACGCGGAGCTCCTCCCTTCGTCAGGCCGCGTCGCGCCCGTCGCCGGCACGCCGCTGGACTTCCGGGCGCCCACGCCCATCGGCGCGCGCATCCGCCAGGTCACGGGCGGGAAGGTCGTCGGGTACGACGCTAACTACATCGTCGACGGGGAGCCGGGGAGCATGCGGCCCGTGGCGGAGGTCCGGGACGCCGCGTCCGGCAGGGCGCTGGAGCTGTGGGCGAACCAGGCGACCGTGCAGTTCTACACCGGAAACTGGCTCAACCACACCGAGGGGAAGGGCGGCGAGGTGTACAACCAGTACGCTGGGTTCACGCTGGAGACGATGGGGTACGTGGACGCCGTGAACCACCCAGAGTTCCCGTCGCAGACACTCAGGCCCGGCCAGGAGTACAAGCACGACATGGTCTTCAAGTTCTCGTTCTGATTAGGTTTGATGCGGTAAGCACAAGGGGAAATCCATTCGTTATTGGTGTTTGACATAGGCGAATAAGAGGGTTTGACGATGTGGTTCTTTTATTACACGCTCATAAACCACACAAGCGCAGATGCGCTCACACGGACATAGTATATTCATGTAACACGGCTACATGTTTTACCATAAACACCTATTTGTACATGTACTATACCAATCAGGAATTTAATTTCATGAAAGAAGCCATAATTTAATTTCATCAAAGAAGCCAGAACATTGGACGCGAACCCTGAACATGGAGTCAAGTGATGTGGTTAGCACTGGTATTTTTTTTCTCAAATACGCAAAGATTTACATCATTGTAATTAAGGTAGAAGATTTTACTCGTACAAATGACGCGCTTCTGGTGAGCGTCCTAGGAGGTCTATAGTATTATAGCCGGAGGCTGGACCGTCGTAGCATACAGAATCAAGTCCACCGGTAAAATTGACAATCTATAGGTAGTCTAACTGGAGATTGCTATCATGTCCGAATTACCTTGCCAGCCCAAAACGATCAAGAAAACTATTAAAATGCCAAAACCATTAAATCATAAGGAAATGATTCTTGGCGGCCAACTGTCAAGCAAAATTTTGCATGATAGAAGGGAAAATTTATATGTAGTACAAACCTAAAGGTAGGTGTATACTCTTTCAAAGAAAAACATACTTCTGTTGTTTGGAAAATTTTGAAACAATGCATATCCATAGTGCACCCATATATATATATATATGTATATTGTTTCGAAAGTTGATATTAAAATTCGATCTACAAAAAAAAAGCAAAAATGACAAAATGCATGTGACAATGGTGAGTTCAAGGAAATGGTGGAAGCTACTAATCGATTTAGTCCTCGTTTTTAACCTCCATCTATTTTGGGGGAAATTGCTAGAAGAAAAGCATGGTAGAATTAGAAGCCTACTACAAGACCATGAAGATGAGAACAAGCATGGCTTCTCCATCATGACTAATGCTTGGACATATATGAAAGATATGAAGAGATTGAGCATCATGAATATTTGCACACATTCCAGTGTGGGGAAAGCTTTATCTAGTCAAAGGATATGTCATATGTGTCACACACAAGTGAAGTCATATTTGAGTTGGTGAACAAAGCAGCTGGGGATGTAGGTTCAAACAATGTGGTGCGAGTAGTGACAGACAATGCTTCTAATAACATGGGAGAAAAGGCATTGCTGCACGCTGAGAGGCCAAACATCTTTTGGATTTTCTTTTGCAACTCACACGGTAAAATGTGAAGACAAAGAAGGACAAGGATGCAACAACAATGTTGAGCATTCCTTTTTGGAAATCTATAGCACTTTTCATGAAGACCTTTGAGCCTTTTGTGAAACTTCTTCATTTGGCTTATGGAGATGCGATGCCATCTATGTATGATGAGCTAATAAAGGCAAAGAGGGATATCAAAGAGGCATTTGGCAATGTAGAGAAGAACCACAAAGAAGTCATGTCCATTGTTGATAAGAAAATAAAAAATAGGCTTAATTCTCCACTACACATGGAAGCATACATGTTGAATCCATACGTACTATAGCTATAGTAACAACACTATCTTCTCTGATCTAATCATTGTGGAAAAATTCATGCATTGTATTGAAACCTTCTATTATGGACATGAAGAAAAAGAATATGGGGTTGTTAATGATGAGTTGGAGAAATTTCAAAGGAGACACGATTCTTTTGGTAAGAAGATGGCAAGGGGAGTTGTGAACACTTTGAATTCAACCTCGATAAGATTTTCCTTCATAGTAGTAGTTAATCCTTACATTCATATTCAGAAATTCTTAATTGTAAATAAATTTGTTTCATTGTAGCATCTTGGTGTAGGCTCTATGGAGGTGGAGTAACTGATTTGCAAAGAATGGTTGTTAGAATCATGTCCTTGACATCTAGCTCATCAGGCTGTGAAAGAAATTGGAGCACCTTTGAACAGGTCAAACATATTCTCAAGATTTACTAATTGTTCAAAGTGTCAATATGATAGACTTGGCCATGGGCTGATCTTTCTTTATGATGTTTAGGTTCATAACAAGAGAAGGAATTTGAGAGGGCCTATAGCATAGTGGTTACAAGAGCCTCAGTAGCACCTCAGGTCCTGGGTTCGACTCCCCGTGGGAGCGAATTTTTCAGAATTTAATGATGTTTGTGCTTTCAGTGGTAGGCAACGTTCCCGTCGATAGCGAGGCACCTGTAGTGACTTCGTTAATCTCGAGGAGATTTATGTTCAACAAAGAAAAAAAGTAAGAAGTCGAGTTTCTGGTTTTGTTTCATACCTCTTCTTGGCTAGGGATGAAGACCGGACGGGAAAATCCTCTCTCAACCGATATTCTATATTTGTTTTTGATTTTGTTCGATGCATGTGCTCTGCTATGGGTGAAAACATGATGGAAAAATCCCATCTTGCCCGACACCATTTCTTATATTTCACTGAACGCATACCGTATTCTCGATATCAAACAAAAACATGAAAAATGTAGAAAATCTGACATGCCCGTATTCTTAGCTCACACATTTAGAGCCGATTTAAAATGCAGGAATTTCAAATAAATTAGTTTATTTTCATAAGAAAAACACAAGAAACATTAAATTTTCTACATTTCAAATGAGGCCATATCCGAGAAAATTTCCATTATGAATACCCTTTTTATTTAAATTTTTATTTTTGATATGCTTACTTGTTTTGAATGTAATGATATGCTTACTTCTAGGCCACGTTTAGTTGGTCACCAAGTTGGCACCGGCTGGTTCTGCGAAGCACTGTGGCTACAGTAACTTGTTCGTTTTTATTTGGTAATAATTGTCTAAACATTGACTAATTAGGCTCAAAACGTTCGTCTCGTAAAGTACAACTAAACTGTGCAATTAGTTTTTTATTTCGTCAACATTTAGTACTCAATGCATGTACCATAAGTTTGATGTGACGGAGAATCTTCTTTTTGCATAGTATCAAAGTTGGTATTTTGGATGACTAAATAGGGCCCTAATCTCCACTACCAAACACAAGGCCACTAGCCATTGGATGCTAGTTTGTAGCTTCCTTCCTACCCCCAAAGCTCACTAAGTCACTAGGAAAGGTGCGACTAAGGTTGAAAGCAGTGAGACTGAGAACAAATCTAGGTAACTTTGTTTGGTTAGGTAGTAAACTAGGTCGTGGATTTTGAGCGCCTGACGGTAGAGATTGCTGCTTGGCTACACGTGCCTGCCAATGCACAATCCAAACAACCCTAGACAGCTTTGGAGTCCTGCTGCAGTTGCCTTGGTCTTAGGGCCTGTTTAGTTCCCAGAAAATTTTGCGTAGTATCTATCACATCGAATCTTGCGGCACGTACATAGAGTACTAAATGTAGATAAAAAAAACTAATTGTACAGTTGGGTGAGAAATCGCAAAATGAAACTTTCGAACCTAATTAGTCTATAATTAGACATTAATTGTCAAATACAAACGAAAATGCTACAATAGCCAAAACCTAAAAAACTTTGCATCTAAATGCGCTCTTACTCTTAGCATGATAAGGGCGTCCCCAACAATCTAAGCAGTTTCTAGCTATTTGGTGTCAACTCATCAACACAGGCTCCACTTATATTTTTTATTTATTTTGCACATTCTCTCTCCTCAATGTGTGGGGGCACACTGTTAGTTGATTCTATAATTGAGAAAAGATAGCAGCACAGGCAAACTTGTGTGCTTGCGTGATTTCGTCCGCTCCGAGCTAGCGAGGAAGCAAGCACGGTGACTCAGGTGGTGTTTGGATCGAGCGCCTAAAATTTATGAGGTGTGTTAGGAGGATGTTGTATAGAGTATTCGGATACTAATAAAAAAATAAATTACATGATCCGTCAGTACTCCACGAGACGAATTTTTTAAGCCTAATTAATCAATCATTATCATATATTTACTGTAGCATCACATTGTTAAATCATGAACTAATTAGGTTTAAAAGATTCGTCTCGCAAATTAGTCGCAAACTATGCAATTAGTTTTATAATTAGTCTATATTTAATATTTTATGCATGTGTCTAAACATTCGATGGGACATCGACTAAAATTTAGGAGGGGCAACAAACGCCACCTTACTTTTTGGTCATTCTCTCTCCTCTATGCCACTTTGAATCCTAGTCAGTCAGCTAGCTACGTCAACTCACTGTTGGGAACGGCCTAATGGCTAGCATGTTGCGGCCCAACGGGCCTTTGTTTCTACAAGAAACAACCATGCGCCAGGCCACCAATCGATGTTGCGTGACCAGCAGAGCGAGCAATGTTTCCTTTGCCTTTTTTTTTCTTTTGCCATGACTACAAAAGTAATTTATAATCCAATTTTTTTGGTAATGACTTAAAAACGTACGGGCACCTAATCCGACCCACTGCCTCATATGCATGCGCTCCTCTCTCTTTGTGTGTGTCTCTCTCTTTGGCACCCGGCGAGGTCCTCATCGGCGCCCCGTGATGTCCTCTGGCAACCCCCTCCCCCTCTCCCCATGCCCGAGTCGGCGCCCCACCTCCTCCCTATGCGGCTCCTCCCTCTCTCTCCCCTCTGGTGGATCTGCTCCTTAGGGTTCCAGCGAGCTCTCCGTCTCATCTTCCCGAACTCCGGTGGCCTTAGAAGGAAAGGGCTTTGGGAGAGGGAAGGCCAGCTAGGTGGTGAAGATCGGAGGCCGGTGTACGCTTTAGGGCCCCTGGCGGGGTGGTGGAGGTGGCCGGGCCAAGTCGGGACGGGGGGAGAGGGAGGGGAAGAAGATGGCGCCGTGGGCGAGCTAGGGTTTCGCCGGAGCTCTAAGGCCATGGCCGCGCCCACAAAGCTCCGGCGAAACGCTCGTGCGGTGGGACGGCTGGCGGCGGCGAGGGTCGCCGGAGAGGGAGAAGGCACCGACGAGGAGCAAGAAGGGGGAGGGGGTCTGCACGAGGAAGGAGGTGCAAGGAAGGAGACGGCCCTGCGTCGTGCTTGCGTTAGCCACATCCTTTTCTTTCTTATTCAACCAATCATATACCATCTAGTGCAAACACTTTCCCGAACCACTGTATTGAACGGCTGCCTCATCGAACCTGCGCAAGCTGTTCACAGCGGAAAACGACTGGCGGCGCCACACGTTGAGCGAGAACGACACACACATGCATGCATGGTCAAGCGGGATGGACATGAAGAGGCCGAAGAAAAAATCAGAAACGATCGAGCAAACTGAGCAAACCCATCTATGCGGTGTGAGGATCGATCGATCATGCAGCAAGAGCACTGGTTTGGATCGAATCAAAGACTATTATGCTGTTATTTTGGCTCCCCTGACGAGCAGCAGGCAGGAAGGCATGGCCTTCGTCTCAGTTCTTCGGCGGTGGGGGCTGCACCGTGCCGTTGGCCTTTGCATCAGCACCGTTTGGAGGCATCGCCTGGGTGTGGGCCTTCTCCCTCGCCAGGTCAGCTTTGATGACCTCTGAGCCCTGCAGTGAAGACAGGTGCGCAACAAGATTGCGGACGTATCATCAGTGACAGTGAGTCAGTGATCGATGCATGCCGCACAACATCTTCGACAAGGCTTGCATCGCCATGTGAATCGTTGTGCGTAAGCTATTTCCGGTTTGAATTGATGCATCAGGTGGAAAAACATCGGTGCTCAATTTATTTTTATTTTTGTGCTGGATTGTATCTGGAATGACGTGCACGTACATGTACCTCGGTGAAAACCTTCAAGGCCTCTTCTGGGGAATTGGTTTTCAGGATCTTCAAAGCTTCCTTCTGTACCAAACGAGTCAAACCGTGGTAAGTGCAGTAGATGCTTTAAAGCACCCAACGGAGTCAAACCGTAGTTAATACATGCTCCAAAAGAAACCTAACCAGTCAATCAATACTGTACTACTACTGATTACTGAAGCAGTGAAGCCAATGCAGTTCTCATGTCATACGATATTTGACTGCAACAGAAAAGGAATACCACATTGCTTTTGTGCCTACACATACTAACCTCACTGTTCCTGATAATTTCCCTTACCAATTTTGCAAAAATAGAAATAATTGGATTTGCAAGAGAGTTCTTTTTAACACCATCAGAACACTGGTACAACACATAAGAGCGCTCAAATACGAATGAGGTTGTCTGAACGACACACATACACACGCTCAACCCCTTTCTGAGAAAAAAAAAACCCTCGTGCGACACCTGAGCCGTCCCAGCTAGAGATCGAATTCAGGTGGGCAGCACTCCACGGAGCGGACCCGACGACCGAGCCACAAGCTCGTTCACTGGAAGAGATTTTATTAGCACCAATTTGTGGCGTTTGTGCCCCCACCCCGCCCCCACACACACTTTTGTATTACGTATAGCTATACCCTTATACAGATTTTCTTTATAGGTGAATCAAATACTAAAAACATGGAACCGTTAACTAGTGAAAATATGAACAAAATCAGCGTTAAACACACCCATCCACAGCTGCCAAGATTTAGATGTCAGGTTTCTAACATCCAACATGACATATAGAAATGGCGCGGAGACTAGTTTTACAAAATGCGCGAAAGGCAAGGCATATAGAGGGGCGAGAATTATCAAGATGGAGCATAGAGTACCCTAGCATCCTCGATTTCCTTGGAGGTCAGAGTGGGCGCTTCCACAAAGCCATCCGAAAGGTAGGCATAATCCACGCTGTCCATGGAGTCCTGACTCCCAACAGAGCTCATCCTCGATCCGTCCTTGGACTAGAGGGTGGCGAGTGGCGTGACCGGAACCTGGAGCCTGGAGGCAATGCAAGATCGCAAGAGCTTCTCTCAAGAATACGGAGGTGAACACAGGAACAGGGGAGAAGGTCCCTTTTGTAGGAGCGATGCAGGAGGCTAGTGAGAAAAGTGGGAGAGGAGAGCAAAGCGTGTATTTGGAATGACATGCATGTACCGGGTGAAAATCTTCAAGGCCTCTTTCTGGGGAATTGGTTTTCAGGATAACGCTTCCTTCTGTACCAAATGAGTCAAACCGTGGTAAATAGAGTAGATTCTTGAATTCTTCAGTGAAGCAAAGAGGGTCAAACCGTAGTTAATACATGCTCCTAAAGAAACCTAACGAGTCCATCAATACTGTACTACTACTGAAGCCAACGCAGTGCTCATGTCATACGACATTTGACTGCAACAAAAAAGGAATATCACATCGCTTTTGTGCCTACCCATACTAGCTCGTACTATTCCTGATCATTTCCCTTATTACCAATTTTGCAAAAATAGAAATAATTACACTTGCAAGAGAGTTTGGCATTCTAATATATCAAAGCAAGTTACTTTGGCCGCCTCTCAGGGTGGCCACGTCGCCCCGAATTCCCCTGGCCGTCCGATCTCACGTTGGACGGCCCAGATCACTCGAAGCGGATTCTCGATGGCAGCCGATTCTGGTGCTTCTGGTTGGCTTCTCCCCCTTATCCTCTGCTTTCTCTCCTTTTCGTCAAAATTCGGAGAACCAAATATATACTACGGCTCCCACTTCTTCTTCTAGATTCTTCTGCTCCCTCCTCTCTCTCTCCCCATCGGTCTCTCGCTCTCCATCCCCACGCGAACAGGGGCGACGGTGCCGTCCACGAGCGGCGCTTGGCAGCGGCAGCCGTGCTCCTCCTCCCTCCCTCCCTCCCTTCCTCTCCTGCCTCTCATCTTCGTTTCTCCCTCCCCTTCCTCTCTCTCCTTCCCTCCCGATGCGGCAGCGGACGGCGCAGCCGGCTCCCCACGCTGCGTGCGGCTGGCCAGAGGCAGCGATCCGGCACCTCCGCCACTCCCTCCCCCACCCTCGCGTCCTCTCCCTTACTCTCTCCCGAAGACCGCGGCCCCGTTTGCTCCAAGGAAACCCTAGGTGGCAGTCTTTATCTCTTCCCCTCTCTCTCTCTCTCTCTCCCTCTCCTTCAGGCACGCACGAGTCCCAGCACGGGCGGCGCGGTGGTGCGGCCTCCCTCTCCCCAAGACGTGTGACGCCCAGCGGTGCGGAGGGTCCAACGGCGCACGACCGGTGGCCGCCCCCTGGCACGAGGGCGCACTGACATGGCCGCGCCCCCCGGCCGCACCCCACGGTGGGCTCGGATCTTCCGGCGACGATCCTCGGTGTGACCGTTGCGGCTATCTCTGCCCATGGTGCCCTCTCTGTTGCATTCGTTTCTTGGCGTCTCCTAGGTGAGGCAAGACCATCCCTCTCCTCTGTATTCATCCCATTGCATTCTCCTCTATGTGCCTCTTCTGATTTGTACTGCATGTTAATGGATTATACGTGTGTGCCTATGGTGCTGTTTTATTTATTTAAGTCTGAGCATATGCCATTGCTGATGATGTGATGATACTTGTGAAGTGCTTCTGATAAACCTGAACATATTTTGGTGTCTTTGCTATTTTGCATTTTTTTGGTTGACCAGATGTCAATGCCAATGATGTTGTACGCTAATACCTAGAGGTGTAAGATATCCATGTTGTTGTTTGGGCGATGATTTCCTTGTCATTTCTTATGTCCAGATCAGTGAAATATCCATAATTTTGCTTTTATGTTTAATGGACACGTGCCTACTTCTACAAGGGAATTTCTCTGAACCAATTTTATGATTCAATGCCTTTTTATACTTCTCTTCATTCTGCCCACTACCTGTTCTTTTTTCCCTGCGCAGGCTGAGCGCAACGACGAAATATGATGAGTCGTGACATTTTCTGGTTATAGGTCTACGGCATGGGTACTCAAGAATTGTGAACTATTAAATGTAAGTGCTCCTTAAGAACAGTTAATAGGTGTGCTCTCCGTACTTATTGTAGGCATATGTGGTAATAAGACAAAGGACAAAATGGATCTCCCTCTCTATCCAGATTGTTGCCATCTGAACCATTTTTATTAAAGATATTTGACTTGAAATTATTCACATGTTTTTAAAATTTATCTGTGCTTGTTGTCCATTGAAAACTGACCCTACATGTTTCATCTATTTGTATGTGACCCGCTTTTCTTTTCAGCCTTATGAGTTCTGATGATGTCAACTGCTCAAAGGTGAGTTTTTCGGATCATGGTCTTTCACGATTGTTTTTGTGCTCCCAGTAGTGATTCCCAGGTTCTGTGAATTCTTCAGGTCTCAATATGTTTCCAGACTCCTGTTTTTACTGCTTTATATGTTGCAGAGAGATGAGTATCTCAGTGATGCACAAATGGTGGCAACGAAGATAGCCAGCTACGACAATACATGGTGAGTTCTTGTTGAACCCAACCACTTCGATTGCGTAATTCTTCTTGGAAACATGATAACCTGGTGTGCATGGATTTAATCTTTCCTTCATTTTGGTGTGCTTTGCAATAACAAATAGTCACATATGTCTTTGATTGCTCAAACACAAATGGTATGGTCTATTGTGCTGCGGTTGGTGTTCTGCTTATGTAATATATGCCAATGCCTTTGTCATCCAAATTTTGTAGATGTCAAGTCTTAGGATGCATAAACATCGGCTTCTCTTTTTGTCTTGCTACACTACTGCTCCAAGTGTCTCTATTGTGTTCCCATATGGTGCTTGTCTAATGAGTCATTATCAGAGCCATCTCAATGTTAAAGGTATCCCTCCTCCTTGCTTTGGTCCTTTTGGTTTTTTAACCGGATTGGGCCACATTGACTGCTATTATGTCGTGATTGGATTTTTGTTTCGATTGAATCCTGAGAGCATGCCTAGAGTTTGGCTTCTATACCATAACCAAGTGTTTTGGTTGCCACAGCTACTGATGATTTTTTTCAGCCTGATTGATCAGGGCCCTCCACATGGTTCAGCATGGTGGCTGCTATTTTGGTGAGGCCATCCAGATTCTGCAGGTCCTTTTCCTTGCCTCAAGAATGGACCGCTTCTAATGAGTTCAGAGAGGTGCACCAGACTTTTTGCATGTAATATATGCATCATGTCTACCTTCATTTACATGACTCGCTGGTTTGCCGATGTAGGTCACAAAAAACAGCTTATGTGGATTATAATCAGCTTGAATTTGTTTCCTACTTAGACTGCTACCATGGCAGCTTGCAATCCTGGACTACAATTTAATTTTTAGTGCTCACTATTTCCAAAATTGCCTTGCTGGTTTACCGATGTAGGTGTTTTGTGTTTGAGAACAAATAATTTGTACACGTGGATGGCGAGCAGCAAAAAAAAAAAAAAAAAATAGCGACGAAGTTTACAACCAGCTTGAATTAAGAGTTACCCTTTCTTTCATTCTAGAGAGATTAGGTAAGTGCTAATGTCACCTATTTGCTTTTGTTTGGATTTTGTGAGCTAGGAGCTAAAACAAATAATTTTCTGCCAAGGGTGATTCCTCTGAATTCGAAATAACAGGTGATTACTATGCCATCTTGAGCTTGGCATAGGATTGCTAAATTTTTATAAACAATGGTCCAGTGGTCTAACTGAAATTTATCCAACAGAGAATACAGAGAATATTGCACGCTCTCTTTTATTTGTCCAAGTCTGAGACTTTATCTGTAATGCTCACTCTAAATTTGTACTCAATTTATAGGTTTCTTGACGAACATTTATTAATCATGCCACTTTGTTTCATGCTTCTATCGTAAAATAAAATAAAATAAAATGGTTCATGTCCTTATTCATGTGACTGTTGCTGAGCCCAATGACTGTGATGTATAGATATAGCATCAATTTCATTGATTCGAACACAGTAACCATGAATTCGTTTCTTCACTTAACCCAATAGAAAATCACATGCTAACTGCCGCTTCTTCCTCGGAGGTATGCTATTTTTTTAATGTTCCTCTATTTGTCCTTTCTTTACTATCCTAAATGTGATTGAAGATATGTTTTTCCTCTCAGTGCCGCTTAATTGAGGGCACCTTGAGAAAGTTCATGTCTTGGGATGATTAGTATAGCTGTAGCCTACCTTATTTGTGGAAGACGGGAAAATCTAGATTTTAGTATCCCAACAATTTCAAGCTATAAACACCGTTATCTGCACGGTTTGATTTTCGTTTAATCGCCGGCGCGTGCAAAGACACGCGTGATGGACTAGTAGCATATAAATGGGCACTCGTGTTGACCACGCGCTCGTACACGGATGAGGTTGTTCAAACGGTCTCGGAACACGTCTACGAAGCCCTAATCGTAAAAAAAACGTGCCTACTGAGCAACTCACATATACACCTCACACACAGTCACGTGCTCAGACCCCTCTGACGAAAAACTCCTGTCCAACACCAGAGCTGTCCGGGCCGGAGATCGAACTCGGACCACTGAGCCACAGACTCGTTCGCTAGAAGAGAATTTATTTGTATCAATTTATGGCATCTGTGCCCCCACACGCACACCCACTACACTTGCTATTCCCTTATACGGATTTTGTTTATGGGTGAATCAAATGCTACAAAATATCTAGCCATTAACTAGTGAAAAAATTAACAAAATCAGCGTTAAAACATCCATCCACGGTTGCCGAGATTTAGATATCACGTTAATAAAAATCCTAACAACACATATAGAAATGGCATGGATACTAGTTTTACAAAAATACACGAAAGCGCGAAGCATGTAGAGGGGCAAGGATATAGTATCAAGATGGAGCATAGAGTATCCTAGCAAGCTCGATTTCCTTGGAGGACAGGGTGGGCGCCTCCACAAAGCGAGGTAGGAATAATCCATGGATTCCACGCGGTCCATGGAGTCCTGACTTGTGACAGAGCTCATCCTCGATA